AGAGCTAGATGTGGTTGATGTTGCTACGTCTATAAATTAGCAATTTTAAACGAGAAGTAATTGTAATTGTGTTTCCAAATATCAAGGTCTGTAGGATCTAATATTTAGCATATGCTAAATGTGTTACTGTTAACAAAGCATGAATGCCATATTCTTTGATATTTAGACATTACAGTAAAACCTTGGATTGCGAGTAACTTGGTCTGCGAGTGTTTTGCAAGACGAGCAAAATTTTTAAATAAATATTAATTTGATAAGCGAGCGAGGTCTTGCAATATGATTAGTACGTATACGCTTTGTCTGCCGAGCGTCACGTGATCACAACTGATATACGAGTGCTTTGACATACGAGTGCTTTGGATTACAAGCACGTTTCCGGAACGACTTATGCTCGCAATCCAAGGTTTTACTGTACTTTATATTTAATCATCCCGTGTGCTTTATTTGATGTTCATGGGAAGATGTAATACAAAAACATTATTTCATACCTACGTGACTTTACCGAAAGAACCAAAGAGTATGGATTCCTGCAGTGATGAAAGCTTTAAATCTAGATTAGGAAGTGTATCACATTGTGTTTTTTTAAAATTGCTTTCCTTAGGGAGTATGACAAACTGAAAGAGAATCTCAAATTGGTGGTAGAAGAAAAGGATCGAATGCAAAGGGAGCGTCTTTCATTCCAAAGTCGGGTAAGATGCTGGCTGCTGCTCTTAAGTGTGAACAGGACCTGGTGGCCAATTGTGTTGGATGCCACAACACTTCACTGTCACTTAAAAGCACCGCACAATCTGCCTTTACATCATCCTGGTCCCCAGCTTGCTGATAACGCACGGTTAGACAACGGCCAACACGAGCCCCATGTGATGATGTGCAAACATGTTGAAGCCCTCTATCTGGCAAGGTAAAATTCCTACATCGCTCCATGTCAATAAATGACTGTTCATTTGAGAGCCTTTAATAAAAAAAACCCTATTTTACGATGATGAATTTGATTTTATTCCAAGGATATAATTGCGATTCCAGGCTAGGAAACATGACTCGAAAAAGCACTCACCCATCGTTAACTTGTGTGGGTGGTATTGGTGGATTTCCCCATAATACTGCATAGAATAAATAATGCATTAATCCGGTCATTTTGTATTGCTTGATATTGTTGTTCTCGCATGTCTTGTTATCCAGCTGCAGAGAGTATCCGCAAAGTTAGAACAGACAGAGGAGCAGCTGAAGGTCACCACGGAAGACGTCCAACAAGCAGACAAGGAAATTCTGGTACTCCCTGGCATAGCTGTTTAATATAAGAATCCGTTCACGTAAAATTGCTTCCGTGCTCAAACTAGAATAGGGCGGTGCTAACCTTGTAGTGACGCTGAACCACTTTCCCATGGTAGGAGGCCAGTCTCTCTGTAGGAAATCACCGAGTACAGCGAACCCTTCATATCTGCGGGTTTTATAATCGTGTTTTTTTGCATATTCGCGACAATTATCCGAGTGCTATTTGAAACTCCTGGGGGGGGGTTCTCTTTTCAATATTCGGGGCCGTAGCACGCTGCTAACCATCAAGAAAGTGACCTATTTACCTTTCCTACACTTTGCACTCCTATAGTGTTTTTTGAAATTGTTGTTTGTTGTAACGTTCTGGAGCGGTGCTAATCACGTAGTGACACTGAACCACTTTCCCACGGTAGGAGGCAAATTTCTCCGTAGGCAATCGCCGATTCCAGCAAATTTTTCCGATTCACGGGTTTTACAATCGCAGATTTTTGCTCTTTTGCCACAGTTATCGGAGTGCTATTTGACGTTCCTGGAGTTGTGTTTTCTATATTTGGGGCCGTTGCACGGTGCTACTCGACAAGAAAGCGATTTGCTTACCTTTCCTATGCCTTTGCACTGCTGTCGTGTTTTTTGTACTGTTGTTGCTACGTACTGATCTGCCCCCCCTACTGGACATCTGTGATAAAGGGTTTTGTGGCCCATCAGATTCCTCCAGCGTTATAATTTAATATTCTGATTCTCAGTCCGCCTTCGTGCTCCGCACTGTTTACAGGCGGAGTGCTTTCCTTGACGGATTTTTTTTGGAATTGCGTACCGTGTAAGCATTCGTTTGTTCATGAAAAATTAGAATAGGTTTTACCCTTTCTGGCAATAAAACAGGAGGTGTTAAGATGTTCAAACACCAAATGGGATACATTTTTGAAGGAATCAAGTCTGCATTAATTACACGTACTTGTGGTGAACATGCAAACAAACATCCTCTGATAATATACTTGCATTGTCCTTGAAACGGATTGGCCTACACCAGAGACGGCCTTCTCTACGGCCTAGTCTCACCAGTGTCATACCATACTATGATACTGGCAAAGAGGTCCTGCGATGATTATTTATTTATATTTGCACTTTTTAAAATGTGTTTATTTTCATCATAATTAAAGGTAAGTTAAATAACACAATACCGTATAATATACTTATTAATTTATATATACATACAGTTTATATGTTTATGTTTAAATGTCATATATATTCTTAGCTCTTTCGGTAAAGTCACGTTGAAGGGAAACAATAAAATAATAAAATATATTTAAAACAATAAAAATTCTCACGACGTTTCGACCATAACACAAACGGTCGTCATCACACCTGATGAGAATTTTTATTGTTTTATATATATTTTATTATTTAATTGTTTCTCTTCGACGTGACTTTACCGGAAAGAGCTAAGAATATGAATTACTGCAGTCACGAAAGCTTTAAATAAAAAAATGTCATATATGTTTATGCTGCCCCTTAACCATATTCCCTGTAGCTTTGAATATTGATTTCGCGGATTTAATATTCGTGCCATATCCCCAGCGAATACTCTGGTTTACTTTAGTGCTTACTTACCCACGTCTGACTGGGATCCCAACTCGCAACCTTCCAATTGTGGGTGGAGCGCTAAACACGGCACTTACCCGGCCCATATATTAGCGGTATACGTGCGCTCACTTATGTATGTATGTATGTGGTGAGCGGGAGCTCGGTTGTCAGCACACTTCGCTGCAAACCCGGCGACCCCAAGTTCTGTTACCGTGCATGTCCAACATCGGTGACACATGTCTGATCCGGCCGTGGGCCTCCCCTCGGTCGACCGAGTCTTAAATTAGTATCTGGTGCTGTGTCAACATTGCCACTCGGGAGACAAAAGCGGCCGGGCGTGGCGCTGGCCACCCACTCCCTAATGCGCAGTGCCGGCCTTCATAGGTGCTCGTTAATATCGCTTGCTCCTACAGCCTGTTAAAGGCTGTATGGGGGATTTTCCTATGTACATAGGCATGCATATGTAGGACCGTGCCATCATGGTGAGTAGGATACATGTTCTTTCGGTGAAGTAGGTATCAAAATAAAAATAAATGAAATCACGACGTTACGATCGCAACACAAGCAATCATCATCAGGTGGGAAAACGACAGCAAGAAGATGTTTTTGCTGAAGTGGGAGAGAGATGCCGTGGTAGAGAGGTAATATAGGTAAGAGAGGGGGGAGGAGCCAGGGAGGGGGGTAGGGGGAGGGGAGCGTTGCGTGGACGCCGGGAGAGGGAGACGTGAAGCTTGGACGGGGGGGGGGGGGGGAAGTGGGGGGCAGGGAGTTGCAGCAATGCCAAACGCTAGGGATGTCGACTCAGCAAAATAAACTAGTGCCCGGTAAATATGGTGGAACAACCATAAAGTATTTAAGATTTTACCTGGTTAATAACATCCTTCCAATGATTGCTTAATTTGTATCCATTTTCTGTATTGACTCGGACCTGGATCTTGTGTTTGTTTAAGATTTTGGCTATCTTTTGTAACGCCTGCTATGTATTGGTAGCGTGATAGTTTTGATCGGCTTTACCATACATAGCAGGCGTTACCAAAAGATTGCCAAAATCCTAAACAAACACAAGATCCAGGTCCGATTCAATACAGTACACAAAATCCGTGATCTAATCCCATCTGTGAAGGATGTCATTCCTGACATGCAATATCCTGGAGTCTACAAACTAAGTTGCTCCTGTGGTGATTGTTACATTGGGGAAACGAAACGACATGTCTCGGACCGTGTTCGCGAGCACAAGGCAGATCTGAAACACGGCAGGACTAATACCTCTGTCGTGGCTGACCATTGCTATAGAACTGTGGGCTCTCATGATATTGTTTTTTTCCGAGACCAAGGTACTCTGCAAACCTTCGGGCTACTATCAAAGGTTTGTTCATGAAGCCATCCAGATATATAAACATAGACATAACTTCAACCGAGAAGATGGATACAAATTAAGCAATCATTGGAAGGATGTTATTAACCAGGTAAAATCTTAAATACTTTATAGTTGTTCCACCATATTTACCGGGCACTAGTCTATTTTGCCGAGTTAACTACAGCCCTAGCGTTTGGCATTGCTGCTGCATGGGGGTTGGTTGTTGCCTTTATTGGTGCTGCTGCTTTGTTCTAGCGTCCTCCCACCCCCCCCCCGTGCATCCCCAGCACTCCCAGCCCCGCCCACTCCCAGCCCCGCCCACTCCCAGCCCCGCCCACTCCCCCCGTCCTAGCTTCACGTCTCCCTCTCCCGGCGTCCACGCAACGCTCCCCTACCCCCCTCCCTTGCTCCTCCCCCCTCTCTTACCTCTATAACCTCTTACCACGGCATCTCTCTCCCACTTCAGCAAACACAATTGTTGCTGTGGTTTTCCCACCTGATGATGATTGATTGTGTTGCGATCGAAACGTCGTGATTTTATTTATTTTATTTTTCTACCTACGTGACTTTACCGAAAGAACCAAAGAGTATGGATCCCTGCAGTCACGAAAACTTCAAATCTAGAAGGATACATGTTACTCCTTGATCGCTTGTTTCCGTTCCTGGCCATGGGTGGGTAATTTGTATCTGAACCCAGTGTAGTGTTTCACAGGTTGGATTTTCACAACCACCATGAGGTAAAGGCTTAAAGTGGTGACGCTCACCCTTAACCTAACCTTTTATGTCGGTCATTATATGTTTACACTTTACGTACTTGCAGACTACAGAGGCAGACTGAGAGGCCTGTGTGTGTGTGAGAGTGTGTAGGCAGCAGTGCTACAGTTGTAGGAATCTGTATTCAGTCCCTGACCGTGCGTAGTTTACAATAGGTTTGGATCTATCATAGGCTGCCTCGGGGTTAAAAAAAAAACAAAACATCAGATTTGAGGAGACAATGTTAGATGGGCATGGAGCTGGAAATAACAACCCCTCATTGCTAACAGCACTCACTGACATTCTGTAAGGCTGGAAAGGAGATTTTTTTTCTTTGTGTGTGATTGTGTGTACGCATCAACATGTCTTAGACTATCTGTCAGTGTTCGTTGTGTATTGTTCACTGATTGTGATATCCATAATCTAGGTTTTTTGGGTTAGATCGCGTAAATATAAAGTTGTGCTGTACTTGTTCTGGTTACGTGACAAACCTTACTAATTGGCTGTGTCGGGTGGTGGCGGGTTTAACGACACATTTATATATTTACTCGATCTAACCCAAAAAAAACCCTATATTATTGATGATATTGGTTGCGAAAGTCTACGTGTTAAACTAATTGTGATGTGCACAATATTTAGATATGACGGTCCACCTTACTCTAAATAGTGAAGTAAAAGTGTTCCCTTCTTCATATACGCAATGGGTGATGATCATCTCCATTATTAACCATTTGCCAGTGGTGACAATTCCACATTCATTTGGCAGGGCTTATTTTCTCTATAGGACAACGATCCTTGACTTTCCCATGTCGTGGAACTCATAATGTCGACTTAGTAGGCACCATGGTTTGAGGCGACTCCTGTGGATAAGCTAATAAGTCTGTTAATGGTTATAGCATGCCAACAAAAAATAACAAAAAGCTACGGCGTTTCGATCACAACACAAGCGGTTTGTGTGTGTTGCGATCGAAACGTCGTAGTATTTTGTTATTTTTTGTTATTTTATTTGAACCTATCTCCGTGACTTTACCGAAAGACCCAATGATATGAATCCCTGCAGTCACGAAAGCTTTAAGTCAACAATTTATTTAATTGTCCATACACTGGCTAGAACTTCGACTCATCAGACTTGTCCTTCAGAGGCCGGAGGACAAGGTGATTGGAAAGCGAGTGTCCCTGTGCGCTGTGACAGTTTGACAGCATTGGCTGTGTTGAACCAGCAAGGGCCCTCTGCGCCGCGGTTGACCAATTGGAGAATCCTTCCTTCTTCTAGGCTGGGCAGAGACGATAGGGGTACGACGCGTTG